TGGACTATAACCATGCGACAAAATAAACCTCTCCTTCTTTAAGTTGTGAGTATCGGGTATTGTGTCCCAGTGATGAGGAAAGTGACTAAGACAAGAATCTAGATAAATCCAAGTTTGATGGTTCCTTGTCCTTGAGCCAAATGTATTCAGATTGAAAAAGATCCTGTCTAGAATCTACGAAGAAGGGGCCAGGGATTTAGCTCAGTGGTTCCACCACCTGCCCTGCAAACACAAGGACTCGAGTTCAGTCCCCAGTACCAGAAAAAAAGAAAGAAAGAAATAGAATCTATGACGAGAGATGGGGAGCCACTGGCCCCTGGGCAACGTTTCAAAAAGCCTATTCAAAATTGTAAATTAAACTCACGATAAAACTACTCTGTTTAAAACATTGTAGAGCTTTCCTTTTAGCCAGAATTACAGGAACTCAGTGCTTTGGTGTTAGTGTTGGTATGAAAGCCACAACTTCTGAATGAATGCTCATTACATATTTGATTAGGAAGAAAGGTGAACTGAATTAGCACTCCATAAACATTTTATAACAAATGAATAAAATCTTTTTACAATGGAATTAGAAAAATATTAGCACTGCAAACTCTTTTGAAATGTTTGAGTGAAAAAAGGCTGCAAGAACTTAAAAACAGAGGCTACTGTCTTAATAGTAATGCATGGTCTGTTCACTGGGCCCTTCCTGTGCGCTTTACATGAACATTCACACTAACCCCACAACCAAATGAAGGTACCACTGCAGATGAGGAACTGAACTCCTCCAAGAGCGCTTTGCTGGAAAGTGGCATGGCCAGGAGCCAAACCCAGGGTAGTTAACTCTGAAGCCCTACTGCTCAGCTAACGGCAGAACTTCCGGAACTGAGTGTGGTTCTGTGGGCTTCCCACTGCTCAGTGCTTTCTAGTAAGTCCAAAGAGAGAATGATGTGGTCTCCAGGTTCAAGCCACCCAAAACAAACGCCAGAATACAGCTGAAATTCAACAACATTATCTTGCAATGTTCTTTACCAGGGTAAACTGGCCTTGAATTTTCTGAGACACTTAAGACTTGGCTTGATCACAGCAGTAAAAGTGTCACAAGGGTGGTTCCTGTTATGTAACTTTTTAAAAAAATTATAAATTTATTGTTTAATCCACAAGCTTCATATAGCTTTAAAAAAAAATAGTGAAACCAAGACACTATTTCAAAGTCTGGGCCCTTTCAGCCTTCAAAATATAATAGATCTCTGAATGTTACATATTCCTGCTGGAAGAATAAGACAAAAATATGAATGGAGTCACTGTCAAAGAACTTCAGTAGCAGAAAGGGACACATAATTCCATCACCACCACCTCAATACATTCCTGTTTTGTGTGTGTGTGTGTACAGTGCTGGGGATAGACCCCAGGACCTCACAAATGCTAGGCAAGCACTCAATCACTGAGCCTTGAACTAATAAAAAACATGCCTGGATATGTATGTATGTGTTTTTTGAGACAGGGTCTCACTGTATAGTTTAGGCTGTCCTTGAATTCCCTATGTAGCCCAGGATGGCCTCAAACTTTCAGTGATCCTCCTGCCTCAGCTTCCTGAATGCTGACATTACAGGTATGTGCCACCACACCCAGGTAGATATTCATTCATGGAACACAAATATGAAAATAACCAGCCTAGCAACTATAAACATCCTTTGGCTCTCAGAGGTTAAGCAAGTTGAAAGGAATTTTTGAAAGGTAGATATAAGAAAAAACTGGCTAACTATAGTGGTAGACTTTGGTGGACTACATCATAAAATGAGGAACAAAAAGCCTCACTAAATTAAAGTAGCCAAAGTTAGTGGAGGTAGACGTCTGTGTGAAACCTGCTTCCATTCTCCTCAGTATAGCCAATTTAAAGTTGTCGATTTAGTAAGTACTGAAATTCATCCTGTACTATGCAAGTCAGCTACAGCACTATTATACACATAAATCTTTTCAAATTTGCATTAGAAAGGCATCAATTACCTCACACTACAATGTGTAATTAAGAAGTGTATTATTTTGCTTAATCTTACAAGATAAATATTGTATTACCTCAAGTACAAAAATTGTAATTTTAACATTTCACTGTTGAGTACCAGAAAGTCTATGGCCATCTAAGCTATGTTCCTTATACAGTAACAACCTAGAGATCACATGGCAAGTTGACTAGTGATTATACTTTAAAGTTAAAAACAAAAGCCACCAATATGTGAGACAGCACTACACATAGCTTGGAGAGAATGAATTTCACACATACAGAACAAAATCTGAAGATCTGCAAGTGACTAGTCAGCAAGGAACTCAGAAACTGTGTAGGATGTTTCTCCAACGAAGAAAAAGAGTTTATTCATTTGGTAAATAGTTGAATGCCTATTATATACTAAAGATAGTGCTAGAGTTTAGGAATTCTAGTGGTTGAAAATAGAGAAGAAAAAGAAGAAATAATAAAGGAACATTTCAGAGAAAGTAGACCATCTTTGTCAGATTTGAGAGAAGAGAATAAAACTGGGGGAGAACAAAGATAAGACTGGCTCTTTTCTGAGAAGCAAGAGGTGAAGTGGATGGAGGTTGGGAGGTGGGATATTGAGGAAGGGCAAGTAGAAAGGTTTAAGTGATAAGGATTTAGAAGAGTCATTTGAAGGACAAGGGACAACTGGAAAAGATGAGCTCCCAAGCATGGCTTTGCACTATAAACCTATGGAGTCCTCCACAGTGGATAATACTCAATATTTATTGCAAGAGCGTGTGGAAGGGGTTGTTGGCTAGAAGTGGGAGTCCTATCTCTGCCACGAAAAAAATGGCTGGCTCTGGCAAGTTACGTAGCATCCTGAAGGGTTTGTTCTGAGTTGTTTCTGTTGTTTGTTCATCAAAACAAAAACAATAGAGAGCACACCACTAAGACCTCTCTTTGAGACACCCTCTTTGATATGGTTTGGATGTGGCTTGTCTGCCAAGGTGCTTGTTTGCTGGCTTGGTCCTCAGGATGGCAGTTTTGTGGTGGGAAATCATTAAGTCACTGGGAGCTGCCCTTAGAAGAGATTAAGGTAGTTCTAGTGGGACCCTCAAGTTAGTTCTCAGGAGGGCTGCTGGAAAAAAAAAAAAAGCTTAGCTCTACTCTGGCTGCCTGTTGGCCATGTGATCTCTCTCTGCCTTTGTGAGGCCAACAATCATGAGCACTATGCAGATATTGATACCAGGCTCTTGAACCTCCAGTATGGTGAGGAAAATAAGCCTCTTTGGACAGCTTCCCAGCCTCAGGTATCTTGTTAGTAATGGAAAACCCACAGTCAGTAATCTCTGATTAGTTTTCATGTGCAGTTCGCAGCTATGCAAGTCACCAAGATGGCATTAAAGTTTTGTCAAAATACAAATGTACAAGCTGGGTGTAGGGGTCCACACCTGCAATCCTAGCAGTCTGAGAGGCTGAGGCAGGAAGACGGAAAGTTTCAGTCTAGGCAACTCAACAACTGGGAGACTGTCTCAAAACAAAAAATAAAAAGGGCTGGGGATGTAGCTCAGTGCAAAGATCTTGGGTTCAAGCCTCAGTACCACACACACACACACACACACACACACACACACACCTTTCACATCTATCCTCAGAAACACATCTGGTAAAGTTGATGTTGTGAATTTCTTACCCTTGGGGAAGTAAGTGTATTGGCTGGGAATTAATGACTTTCTTAAATGTCCAACGCAGGGGACACTTCTTTCCCTAACCATTGCACTGTCAACATCTGGTGTCTGCAGGGGGATTGGTCCCAGGAGCTCCTGCAAATATCAAAATCCCCAGATGCCCATTTGCATATGAAGGCCCATATATTTTATTTGTGAGATGGGAGAGGGAACTTGCTATGCTGCCCAGGCTGGCCTCAATATCCTAGGCTCAAGTGACCATCCTGCTTCAGCCTTCCAAGTACCTGGGACTACAGGTGGCTCCTTAAATTATCTCTAGATTAATTATCTTAACAGTGTTAATGCTATGTAAATAGTTGTTCTGTCTAGGGAACAATGACAAGGAGAAAAAAAAACTTCATATAGGTCAGACAGATAATATTTTTCCTGGATATTTTCGATTCACAGATACGGAACTCATGAACAGGGAGGGTGAACTACACGGTGTACCCTGTTCTCTCCATGTGCAGTTCTTGAAAGGGGGCTGAGGATGTGCTTGAAAGGAGGATTCAAACACCCCGAAATTACACAAACTCATTTTGTGATGCAAGCTTTCCTTGGTCTTTCAAAGTATAGCCATACCTTCTCCCGAGAGTGAACAATCACTGCTCTAAAAATCTTCCTTTTCTGAAAAAGTTCCCCAGTCATTAAGTTAATAGTGGAATTTCCAGGGTCTTCTGGTTAATATTCTAATCCTTACGCTCTCCGCCGTTGGCCTGCTGCCAGACAGCTGGAAAGTGCAGTGTTTGAGGAAGAGCGCGGCTGTCCCGCGGTTTTGAGGACGCCTCTGCGGCTTTGTCTTCCCGGATCCTAACTAGCTGTGAAGCTTTGAGCAGGTTCACCTCTGCCGCACACAACGAGGAAAGCAAACGTAACCCGCAGGTGAGAACAAGGTCCATTCCCCGCTCAGGAAGGTGGCAGCTGGGTGGGTAACTTGCTAGTCCCAGGGTCCCCGCCTCGAGTCTGCTGAAAGTCTGGTCTGACCCCTCACGCCTCCGGCGACACTACGGGGCTCGGTCACGTTCCCCGACTGACCATTCCCTCCGGTGCTCCTCTCTAGGCCCCAGGCCCAGCACTGACTAACGACGATCCGCCTCCAGGCTGACGGTGACCGACACGTGACCAAGGCGTGTAAGCTTCTACCTTGTCTGCCCAACCCGCGGCTACAGCCCGCGCCTTGTGTACGCGTGCGTGAGACAGGAGCGCCCCTCCCGGCAACCGTTTCCAAGGGGATCTGCGCATGCGCTTTGTAACGTCCCCAGGACCGAGGAAGGAGGAGCTGCCGCCAACAGCTGCAGTGCGCTTGCGCAATAGTCGGAGGCGGGCGTTTCTTTCCTCCCTTTTTTCGAATCGGTCTTGAGGGGTAGATTCGAGTTACAAAATGGCGGCCTGGAGCATGTTTGTAGCACATTTCCCAGCGGCCTCAGCCTGACTGGACGTCTCTTCCGCCCAGTCGTGACCACACAAGAGAAGCGGGCTACGGGGGACATGGTGTTTGAGACTCCGGGCTTGCTGACCACGAAATCCTTCGAGGCTCCAAGCGCACCGGAAGCCACCCGCCGCCGCTTCGGACGCGATCGCCGCCTGGGCCCAGCGAGAGCCGCGGCGGCTGCCGGAGAGGTGAGGCGCGGAGGGGCCGGGGCCCGGGCCAGGAAGGAACGGCGCAGCGGGGACCAGCGGAGGGCGGGGCAGTGACGTCGGCGACTCGGCTGGCTGCTGCGGGGCGGGCCCTGCTGGACTCTCCGGGCCGCGGCGTAGACCTGGACAGCCGGCCGGCGCCGGGGCCGCGGGCGGCAAAGGTAGGAGCGCGGGTCGGGCGGCGAGGCCGCGGCCCTGTCCCCCCCAGCTGTCCCCTTCTGCCTGTCCCCGCCCACGACCTCTTCGTCCCCCCTGCGCTCTTAAGCTCCATCCCCAGTCTGATCGCCGGTTCATTGAGAAGCGCTGAGCCAGGTGAGCAGTTCCTCCTGGTCTGGCCCCTGTTTCCTCCTCCTCTACCGGGCGCCTCAGTATCGGGGGTCGCCGGGTCCGTTCCCATCTAAATGAAGTCCAGTTCCTGGGGCAAGTCCCCACCAGGTGGCAGAGACCGCCTAACGCCATCAGCCACAGATAAAGTTTCCTACTTTCAGTTTCCTATCACATTGCTGCGTATCAAGCAGTCATGTCATAACGTGGTGCCTTTTAACCCACCCAGTTGGGCAAACATTTTGTAAACTTTATAATAGGAATGGGTAGCAAAAAAGGCTTGAGGTGTAGCCAGGGGTGGTGGCCCAGGCTGAAGCAGGAGGATCGCAAGTTCAAGCCCAACCTGGGAAATTTAACAAGATCTTTTGTCATATTTTTTTTTTAAAGGTTTGGAATGTAGCTCAGTATGAAGGCCCCAGGTTCAACTCCCGATTCCGGGGGGGGGGGGGATCAAGGTGCCAGGCTGTGTGCTTTATAGTAATTTCCCCCCCCCGCCCCCATCTTCTTTCAAAACAGGAAAATTGTTTGTCTGAAGTGTCATGGTTTGTAATAAAATATAGATTGGGTAAAACAATTTTTTACAATCTAGCACATAGTTCAACCTGTTCTCTTTCTCCATATTATAAGTTTTTAAGTTTTGTAAGAAAAAATGATAGCCTTTGCTTCAAACAAAACTTGTCTCTTTAATATTCATAAAGCTCTTTCCATGTTCCAGGCATTGTTCTAAACTAACTTTTTTGTTTCATCTCATTTCATTTCCGTAACATTTTCCTGTCCCTTAGATAAAGGCACTGAGGCACAAAAATTAAATTACATATCCAGGATCTGACAGCTAGAAAATGGCAGAACTGGAAGCCAGCATCTTGTAGTATTTTCTCAAATATATGCTACCCCGGATCACTGATGCCATCAGTGAAGAAAACCTGGATCCCTGCCTTCTAGTTTGTACTGACTTGATAAGTACATTGGAAAAAGGAAGCAGCTAAATGAACTATCTTGTTCGACTATGCCAGTTATCTCTTCAGGTGCACGGATGAATTAGATGTTAAATTTTTACTCTTATTACTAGGTTTTTGTATTTTCCAGCTTCACCCCTTTTTGTTCTGTTACTAATGACCCTTTGGCCTGTCCTAGGCTTGACCATTCTGGCCTGACTCCTCTTCCGCCCTCTGGTGGAGGTGTTAGTTAATACAGGAAAAGTGCCGGAGGACTCCACAGAGATCTGGTCCCTGAACAGTTGTCTATTCCTATGTCTGTTGATGTTTTTGTGAGAAGGAGTAATAGCAAAACTTGACCGAGTGTGTTGGGGGAAACATTAAACAGAGAGGACTCCCGGGTAATAGCTGGAAATTGTATTTTTGAAATCTCATACTTTATATCTTAGAATCTTGGACTTTAAAAATCATTCATTCTACAATCAGAAAAAAAGGTGCATACTTGTAAGTGAAATTTCAAGGGTTATTTGGATGTTTTAGAAGCTGAGCACTTCTAGACATCAGATTATGGAGGATGTTGGAATGAATTTTATTCTCTAGAAACTAGTTTTATGCCTAGAGCAGTAGGTGATGTGTACAGTTTGTCTTAATGGTCTTGATGGTCTAGAAACCTTACTTGGTGGGTTGTGATACTGAGGGCAAATAAATTGGGAAAGACTTAGGAAGGAGTCAAGCAGACTTAACCAGCCCTGGCAGGTGCCTACAACTAATTAGTAAATCCTCAATAAAGTAGGGAACAGAGGAAATGGAAAGGGTTTTGGTTTTGTGGTTGTTTTGTTTTTGTTTGTTTGTTTAGTCATCTGGTGACTGAGTGAAGAAACCAACTCATACCAAAGCTCCATTGGTTCTAGTTCTTGGGTTTTTTCTTTTGTCCCTTGTTGCTGTTTCTGTTTTTTAACAGCAAGGTATATGACATTAGGATCAGAAAATAAAATGCAAGTTCTGAGGGGTGACACAAGCACCCTCTTGGCTAGGTGATGAAACTTCAGAGATTCTGCCGGTCCCCAATCCAACCCTTCCCCATGTGCTATGGGATTAGAAAAGTTAAGAGGGTGGTTTCTTTTCCAAGTGTTCTCTGTTCTCAGAATGCTAACACATCCACAGTAATCATACTTTGTAGTTGTAAATAATGTCTTAGCTTATTAGCACAGATACAGTTTGGGGCAGTTAAATGTTCAATTTTGGGAAACATCTATTTCTATCAAATGTGCCTAAAGGGAAGTACTCAGGTTATAACTCATGTTATAAAATTGTTTCCAATGCCTTGTTAAAATTTTTAGCTAAGGATAAAATTATGGATCATCTTTAAGGAAATTCTGAGTAATAAAAATGTTTTGCTTCTGGTAGAATGGCGAGTATAATTTGCATATAATAAGTTAAGGACTTATAGATTGTATATACAGTACAGTATTTTAAAGATTCCAGATTTTAAAGTTGTAAAATTTTCATTGAAGCAGTTTCCACTGACTTCGGGAATATTTTTATCTCAATTCATGTTAGAATGAATTTTAACAATTCTTTGTAAGAGTGATATCTTGGTCTAGAAAAACTAAACATTTTACTCCTGTTTTCTGTAATTTAGATTCAAAACAATGGCCAAAAGAACTGCCGAAAAGGAATTGACAGATAGGAACTGGGATCAAGAAGATGAAGCTGAAGAGGTAAAGAGCAGTTTCTCTGAGAATGATTTCTTATTGCTTCCACATTTAATCTCATCTTGAGTTCCTCAGTCATGAATAAAGGGTGAGTTAAGTGGTTTAGTCATGAACTTAGCACAGTGCCAACTTCCATTCTAACCATCCGTCTGCCACACCCACAATTTTAGGCTTCAGAAGATTGCTATCACCACCCTTAATGCTTCTCTAGTTCCTATTCTAATGGTGTATCTGAGACCCCAGCAATTGCATTAATAGTTACAGAATTTTTATTCTGTAAAAAATAATCTTGCTTGAAGAAATCTCAACCATTTTTCTCTTAGAAGGATAGAGCACAATTGCATTTCTAGTGCCATATCAGCCAGTTGATAGGCCTAACCCAGTTCACCTAGGAAATCTGTAGCCAAGTTAGCCCTTCAAGTTCGTAGTGTAGTACTAGGTTAAAAAAAAAAGTTAAAAATCTGCAGAGTATTTTCAAGCCTATTAGACTAGTGTCTTCTTTCTGAATCTTTCTTTCTGATACTAATATTTTTTCTTTTTACAAGTATACTTTAATGTTTAGAGAAACCAAAATCACAAGTGTGTTCATGTTTTCACAGGGCCTTTAGCTGACTTGGTGGTTTTTGACTCCTTGACCATGGATATTTTGGAGGGAAGAAGGGGTAGTTTCATTCTGGGCTATAATAAGATACAGTCTGGCACATAGTGAGTTTCTTTGACATTAAAACATATAGGAATATAAGAACTCCCATTTGGACAGCTTCTAATGGAATGAGTGTAGAAGATTATATTTAATCAGTTACCGTTAACTGGGGCAAGGGCGGCCACAAGGTCCTTTGTTTGGATATAAGGATCCCTTTAAGATAACATGATGGGAAATAATGATAGATGAGAATTTTTGTACAGGAACTATTTTGTTCCAAACCTACAGGGTAAAGTAAGAGTTGAAGTAAAGCCAAAGACCTTCAGCAAATCTCGGTTCTAGATGTAGCACTTTGAACATAGTGCGGGAGAGCAGTCGTTTCCAATAGAGTCTGTTAGAGTCCTGGCTGTCTCAGTGGCCTTTTGGACAACAGGAAAGCTGGCAGGACTCTTCTTTAAAATAACGTAATGGCATGGGCCAGGGATTTAGCTCAGTGGTTTCGCCGCCTGCTTCGCAAGCGCAAGGACCCGAGTTCGATCCCTGGTACCAAAAGAAAAAAATAATAACGTATGGCAGTGAGGGTGTCATTCAGGGGTGATTTTGATCCTTGCACTACAAAAAAAAAAAAATGCATGTGATTTGTAGAAATCTTATTGAAAACTAGTAGCAAGATTCATCTGGGTTTCAGAAGGGCCCCACTATCAGCTACTCATCATGATCTTTATGATACCATCCGGCTTTTTGATGGTAGCTTGTATTTGTTAAAGAAAACATTTTACTCTACACTTCATTAATAAATTCTTAGACTATAGATCCAAAATACTTGAAGAATTGCTGGTAAATATTTTCACCAGTTTTTGTGGTCTCAGTCATTTCAGAACTTGGGTGTGTGCACTCCTCTGACTAGATTGAGATTTGATGCCTGGCTTTGTAGATTGTGGAAAATGCACAATTTGCCTAACTAGCATTGAAATCAATAAGAATCTGTAGATAGTAGCTGTGAGCTGTCTCTTATAAGCACTCCCCGTGATTTGTGCCCCTGTGCTGACACTGCTCTGAAGCCATCAGACATGAACTATCTGTGCTGTCTTTCCTTTTTGCATTTCATCTGCTGTCTAGCCTAACTTCTACTGTTGAATTTGTGTCCTGCAGCTGGGGACGTTCTCAGTGGCCAGCGAGGAAGTCCTGAAGAACAGAGCCATAAAGAAAGCCAAGCGTAGAAATGTTGGATTTGAAGTGAGTGCATTCTTACAGCTTTTGGTATTAAATACTAATTTGATTTCTGAGTTACAGAGCATTTCTACCTCTGGGAGCAATCATAGCAACACATGGCTTTTTAAAAACAATTACTCCTTGGGTAGATCGTGGGAGATAGAAAAAAGTAATGAATAAGAAGTTGGTGCTTTAAAGAGAGCTTATCCACTTGAGAAAATAAGGTAACCATAAACAAATTCAAGTTGAATGACAATATGGAGAGGAAGAAGGAGTATAGCAATGCAGAAGGCAGAAGTGGTATCAGAGGGGAAGAAAGGGAAATATATTTCCAGAGCGTTCTCTATTTCTGGGATTGAGGAAGAGACCACTATACTAGAAGCATTACGGGTATCCATTATCTTTCTAGTATGGTAGTTTATCATGTGAAGATGCTTCATTCCTATGCCCAGAAAGATAACACGAGTTGTAACTCTTGAATTGAAGTCATGTGGTAAGTATTCAGCAGTCACCCCACATTTAAGAACTCTTTCAGCTGGGCACAGTGGCACATGTGTGTAATCCCAGCACTTTGGGAGGTTGAGGCAGGAGAATAGCAAGTTCACGTTCCACCTGGACAACTTCGTGAGACCATGTGTCAAAATAAAAAGGCTGAGAATGTGGCTCAGTGTGAAGTCTGTGGGTTCAGTCCCCAGTACTGCCTCCCCACTCCAGTAAGACCTGATTCCCATATACACCCCAGACTTTGCGTGTGGTCTAGGTGCCTGGACACCTGTGGTCAGGCAGGAGAAGTTGATTTGAACATCCTGGGTGACGTTTTCGGGATAAACGTACTCAATCACATATTCTGCAGTTTTTAACGTTTTTTTTTTAATATCAAGAATGAATTATATTCTTGGGGTCGGGGTTTTAGCTCAGTGGTTCCTCCACCTGCCTCACAAGCTCAAAGTCCTGAATTAGATCTCCAGTACCAAAAAAAAAAAGAATGAATTATATTCTTGTATTTTCCTTTTTCAAATAGAAGGGATAGTAATTATATATCAATTCTCACACTTTGAGAAACAGTGAAAAAGATTTACTACATTGTCAAAGTTTTGATCATTAAGTTTGAAAATGTGTTAAGAATGGAAGGCTATAAGGGCTGTCTGGAAACAGTAAAAACTTTAGCAAGGGTTACCATGGTGAATTGGTTACTCAAAGCATCTCATAAATGAGAGTGTGTGTTAACAAAACAGTTTAAATTACAAAAGTAAATTTGTGTTCACCGAGAACATATTTGCAGTGTAGAAACAGGCAAACAGCAGATGATTCTCAGGTGGTTCATCACAGTCATTGTTTGTATGGAGAATGCAGCTAGTGACCTACAGGACAGATAACACATCTTTGTCTGCTCTGTGCCTTCCTTTCCTACTGTCACTTCCTGGAGCTCGAAAAGCTTTCATATGGAACCTCGGGTTACCTGGGGCTGCACGGCCAGGAGGGGAGACAGCAAGTGAATCTTAAGAGGGAGAGGTGGGACAGAGGTTCTCAGAGCCATAGCTAGACTTCAGGACTTCTGTTTTTAAAATCAGTTTTTGCTTACAGATTTTTATGTCTTTAAATTGGCAAATGGAAATGGAATGTATGTATGGTGTACAACATGTTCTGAAAGAGTATCTTTTGTGGAATGGCTAAATTGAGCTACCACATGCCAGTTTTTGGTGGGTAGAGTACTTTAAAATCTCTCCTAGTGATTTTCAAGTATATAATATTGTACATTGTAATAATTAACTACAGTTACCATGGTATTGTACAATAGCTGTCTTAAGTGTCACTGGTTTTTGTAATTGCAGTTTTTTTCCTGGTCTGATTTCGTTATTGCTTATGATGGGTGATGATGGCTTAGGAAGTGGGTGTGGAGCTGAGACACGGGAGGGGAAGGTGGCAGGGCAGCCACCTGGGAGGCTGAGGCAGAAGGGTCACAAGCTAGAGCCCAGCCCGGCAACTCAGTGACTTAGCGAGGCTGCCTTAGAATAGGGTCTCACTATGTAGCCCAGGCTGGCCTTGAACTTGCAGCAATCTTCCTGCCTCAGCTTTCTCAGTGCTGGGATTACAAATGTGTACCACCATGCCTGGCAAAAGCATCTTTGAAAAGACGGGTTCAACCACTGGTGTGGAGCAAAGAGGGGGCGGTGGGCAGCTTAACTAAGGAGGAAATGATTTGGCTCGGAGGGTTTCTATCTGGAGGTCCTGTGGTCCGTTCCAGTGAGTTCTGTGCAAGAGGTTGGGTTCAGAACAAGACGTGGCAGGGGCCAGGAGTGGCATGCAGTGGGGCCGGGTGAGGATGGAGAGGCCATGGGCAGGCGGTCTGTCGCCGCAGAGCACCCCATTGCTGAGTGTGGGCCGGGAAGCTGCCTGGTAGGGACCAGGGTCTCTGGAATCCGCATTTCGTTTTAGCTGTGGCTCTGGGCCTGGGTTGCCATCAGAACTTGCATACTAGGAAAATGAGATGTCTTCTCTGTGCAGAAATGCAGCTTTTCCTAAAGAGCAGGCTTGTTTATTCATTTAGCAGATCTGCCAGGTGCTACAGATGCGGGGTCTAGTAAAACAATAAAATATCTACCTTGTGGAATTTAACGGCTTAATGAGGAAAAACAAATAAGTCCTATGTTATTTTTCTCCCTGAAAGGCACAGAGAAGGATAAAGGGCGGGAGGGCGGGAAGACTGGGTGGTTCTCATTACACTGTCACTCTCATCCCCTTTCTGGGGATCTCCCTTTTTTTTAAGTGAGCAGTTTGTGAAAATGTTAGTGCTGTTTTACTCTCAGTAAGTACTCTCAGATACCATGTGCTCTAAATCCAGAGCAGGCTGAAAGGCCCAAGGGGCTGCTTGTGCAGCTCATCTGAATTGTTGGAGTAAAATAACAGTCTAGTGCATTTTAGGTTCAGTGGTCGGAAATAAGATCTAGAGCATCAAATGTAAAATACATCTAAGATTTTTCATTCTTTGCCTAATTTTATGGCCATAAATGTATCAGCAAATGTGTCAGTAAATATCTGAAATTCTGTAGATGTGATTGAAATTTTTGTGGTTTTGGAAAAAATATGCATTATTTAGGGTAACAGGCCCAGCCAGGAAATGAAGAGATTCCTTCCCATACAAATCACTTTTTGGAGAGATGGTACTTATACTTCATTTACGTGAGGATTGAAGATTGGGAACTCTGCTGAATGTGTGGTATAAGAAGCAGATCACTCCTGTGGTGTGGCCACTATTTTATATGAAAGAGAAGTTTATAACCATTATAACTAGTAAACTAGCAAAGCACTGAGCCAGAGAAAGCTTTCTCCAGAAGTTTATAGGGGCAGAGAGCAGTTTTAGATTTCATGGAATTCCAAACATTTCCAGAGCACCCTGGGTTGGAGAAGTGAGCAGGCTAGCATAGCTGCCTGAGGCCTGCTAGAAAGATCTTGCTAAAGAAAGCAAGTTTGAGGAAGTTACGAGGAAAAGGAAAATACAGAGTTTTCCTGGATTGCTCAGCAAAAATAAAATCTAAGATTGAGACATGGTTTTCTTCTCATGTTTCTGCAGTCTGAGAGCAGCTTGAAAACTACAGAAGTTCTTAGGAGCCGGGGATTTAGCTCAGTGGTTCCAGTGCCTGCCTGACAAGCACAAGGTCCCGAGTTTGATCCCCGGTACCAAAAAAAGAAGTTCTTAGGAAATGTGGTAAATGGTTAACTTCACTTGATGTTCCCAAAACTTCGTTAGGCAAATGGTCTTTGAAAATGTACATGAACAGTCTTTCGTTTGGGGTTTCCTGTGCTGAGAATGTTTTTAGCTGTGCTGCTCTGAGGCACTTGGTAGGTAGTGAATTTATTACATTGATCTTTGTTACATTGTATGTCTTACATATACATACAACTTTAAATATGTATTTACCTGTCTTTCCAGGCTGTGTCAGGAACTCAGCTCTGGATGACAAAACTGTCTATTAGTTCAGTTCATCCATCTTATTTCCCATTTTTGCCCCTACCAGCAGTTTTCCTAAAGCATCTGGAGTCTGGGTGCCTTTTTGTCACTTAATCGCTTATTTGGAGATAGGAAGTGTTCCTACCTAATGTGTGCTTCTTCTCCTACTTCAGTCTGACAGTGGAGGTGCCTTTAAAGGATTTAAAGGTCTGGTCACGCCTTCCAGAGGAGCAGGGTTTTCTGGATTCGGAGGTGTGCCTGGAGGGAAGCCTTTGGAAGGACTGTCCAATGGGACCGGCACAGCGAGCACCCCTGCCTTTGCCAGCACCAGGGCAGTGGCAGAGCCCAAGGCCACCTTTGGTGAGTAGGTGCCACCTCTGGCTAAGCAGAGTCAATGAAAATAACTCTGCTAAGATGTTTTCCTCACACTAATCCTGGTCTGGGACTAGGCGAGCAAAAACAATCATGGAAGGGCTGGATTTGGCAAGTAGGTAGAGCACTAGTGTTAGAGCCAAAGCAGCCCAAGGTTTGGTTCCTGGCTCTGTTGGTTTTTAGCTGTGTGATCTTGGTAAAGTTCCTAATCTTTGAGCCTCACACTCTTTGACTGTGAAGGGAGACCTTCAGTTTGACCTAAATGATTGAGGTGTAGCTCAGTGGTACAGTGCTTGCCTAGCATGTGCAACCTCCTGGGTTAGACACCCAGGACTGCAAAAAAAAAAAAAAATGCAGAGTGAAATGCAAAAAGGCAGTGCTTATAGACCCTCTGTGAAGGCTTCCTGCCCACCCATTCCTTATTGGTGTGCCAAGCAAGGGCTTTTTGTGCCTCACACCCAAATGCCTCCTAGGCCCTCTGATGACTTGTCCCTGAGCATAGAGCCCTCCTGGGCTGGGTTTGAACAGAATGTATTGATCACCTGAGCCTGTTTTGAGGAGGTTATCAGGAACTCTTGGATTCACATTGAAAACAGAGTCCAGGGTTAAAATCTTAGAAACAATTCTGACTGACTAGATTGTGTTTAGCTAATTATTCTGAAAGCATACTGTTTGATCTTTATTAAGCAGGATGTACTAAGCACTTTCTTTTACGGTGTGAACTACTTTAATATATAGTCATACAAACAATTTTGAGGATTTAAGTTTTATGCTAGCACGGTATGCTAACAGTTCTGTTTGAAATAAACATCCTTTTGAAGGAAAAGATTGAGTTTTTCAAATGTAGAGGTTTAATGTGAACGTACAGTATATGCTATTCCTCACTTAACTGATAATACCAGTTCCTAATACCATTGTAACTTCTTGCACATACTTGTTGAACTGTAATAATAGGATACAATAAAAGCAAAAACTATGAAGACAGAGTGGTATAAAAATTTGGATGGTTTTTTTTTTTGAGATTTGGATGGTTTAATCAAATCAGCTTCTGAATGAATTGTTCAAACTTTCATTTCCTATAGGATCTTTGACTGCAAATGGCCCTGCTACCTTGGTTGAAAAAAAGATTACAAATCCCAAAACTATAAGTGACAGGCAGCAGCCCTCCTCCTCTGGCCTTGCTTCCAGCCAAGCCTGCCTAGGGGATGCCTATTACAAGCAGCTGGCTGCCTTGAACTGCTCTGTGCGGGACTGGATTGTGCAACATGTGGACTCGAACCCCATCTGCGATCTCACCCCTGTCTTTAAAGACTACGAGAAATACTTAGCGACTCTTGGGCAGCAGAATAAGAACTGTGATAGCAGCAGTTCTGAGGGTGAAAGCACCAGGATGTTACTTGAAACACAGCCTCCTTCCCTGTTTGGTGCAACAAAACTACAGCAAGAGTCAACTTTTTTGTTTAATAGCAACAAAACTGAGGACACTTGTGAAAAGACAGAGGTTGTGTCTGAAAAGAAGCTGGACCCAGCAAAAGGAGCAACAAGTGCCTCATTTAATTTCGGCAAGAAAATTGATAGCTCAGTTTTGGGATCTACAAGCTCTGGTCCCCTGACTGGATTTTCATTTTCCCCTGGAAACTCCAATTTATTTGGCAGAGATGTCACCCAGAGTAAACCAGTTTCTTCACCATTTTCTGCCAAAACATTGGAGAGCCAAGCAGAAGGTGGCAGTAATGAATGCAAAGGTGAGTATAAAGCTTGTCACGGGGAAAGCAGAGACTTTTGATTTGGGTGGATCTGGAATCACATGGTGACTCCCATCATTTCCTGTATGTGTCAACCTGGAGGAGGCTGGACGGTCCTTATTCATAAAGAGGAAGAAGATCCAGTGTTTAAGGTTGCTGTAAGTATTGAGGTATAAAACGGAATTGGGGATGTACTCAGTGGTAGGGTGCTGGCCTAGCATTTTTAAGGCCCTGGTTCGAGCCCCAGCACCCCCAAAAATCTGTGCATATATAAAGACTATATAGATACCTAGCAAAATGATTATGAAAGATACCAAACACCTGGCTTTGCATATTAAAATGAAGCAAATTAGAAACATTTTTTTTGAAAACTGATTTACTGAGCTTATGAATATCCATTGAATTGATTCGTATGTAGATTTGACTGAAACCTCATGGTAAAACTTGGCTATAAATCGAAGAGGTGGACTTTTCATAGCCTTAGGAAACAAGCCCACAGTGTTCTTCTAGGTCTGGATGCACCCCCCTTTCTGAGGGGCAGGCTGGTGTCTGAGCAATAGGTGGGCTGCAGGTGCTGGGTGGAGCAGGGCCCAACACCTGCTCTACCTGTGTCCTCGGGGGACACAAGCGTTAAATGTGCACTTCTCAGGTGTGTCGCCACTGACCCCTGACAACAACAGCTGTGCTTGCCAGTTCACCACTGCAGTGCAGTGGTTTCCTCCTGGTGTTAGATTCCCATCACTGTTCTATGTGACTGAGTGGTTAGTATATCCTCTGGCAAGGCCCCAGGGCAGAGGAAGAATGGGGGCTCTCCTTTTATTTCTTCTCTGCCTCCCTAGGAAGACAAATGGAGTTTTTCTTGATCCTACAGCAGCTGCGGTGACACAGTGATGATGAATTTGAATCAAGTCCCAATCAGTGCAGGCTGCCCCTCAGAAATACCTACAACTTATCTCATGGTTATTTCTGTTTTCCTTCTTTTTTTTTTAATGGAACTGAGGATTGGACCCAGGGCCACCTTACTGAAATATATCCCCAATCCTTTCTTAATTTTTTTATTTTGATACAGGCTCTCAACTTATTAAGTTGCCCAGACAGGACTCAACATTGTGATCATCCTGGCTCAGCATTCTGGAGTGCTGGGATTACAGGCGTGGGCCACCAAGCCAGCCTTGTTTATCACACTCTCTGCATCAGTAGGACTTGGGAGTCTGTTAGAAGAAAAGTGCCTGGGCTCCCCTGGAGAGCCTGTCCCCGGGGTTCTAGACTCAGTTTTTTGTTTTATTTTGTTTTTGGTACCTGGGATTGAACTCGGGTCCTTGTGCTTGCAAGGCAGGCATCAGAACCACTGAGCTAAATCCCCGGCCCTCTAGACTCAGTTTTATAAAAATCTCCTGGGAGATCCTAGAGCTTCATATTGGACCTTCTCACAAGTTAAATCTTGTAAGCTAAGTCCTTTGAGATTTTCCTGCACAGAGTTCCATTTTAATTTAGTGTTTTACACAACTGCCTTTCTCAAAAAGGACTGCTTATGTGTGTTTCAGCTGTGTCTCAGATTCTGGTGGGGAACAAAAGCCCTTCCGGCTCAGTCGGGGCCCCATACTAAAAAGGAGACAGGATGTTCAGTCAGAAACACAAATGTACATTTGGCTTTGCTTCTTTTTCTGACACACTTGCCTTGTAAAAAGACTCTATTTCCCCATATTTGGCTGTTCCTGATGTGTTATTCCTGGGCATGATGCAGATACGACGGTCAAGGGACATTTGGAGCAGAAGGTGTCACAAGTTCCCGAGACTTTGATTTTTCCAGAGGGTAACCAGAATATGAACCGTTGAGTGTAGGCAGGTTATTTTTCTGTCAGTGTCATAGGCATAGGTTTGTTGTTCTTGATGATGATGTTGTTCTAGGGCTTTCTACAAATTGGAAATTATTTTAAAATAGGAAAATAGGTTCCCATTGAAAATCATCCTTATGTGGGCATGGTAACACACATCTCTAATCCCAGCAGCTTAGGAGGCCGAGGCAGGAGGCTTGCGACTTCAGGCCCAACCTGAGAAATTTAGCAACTTAGTGAGATCCTATCTCAAAAAATAACAAGGACTGGGAATGTAGTTCAGTGAAAGGCCCTGGGTTCAATCCCCAGTACAATAAATCATTTTTCACGAAGTAATTAAAACCCAGTGAACACCTCCTGCCCTAAAAAATGAGCTGTTTTCAGTCTTTGTACTGACTTGCACAGACTGTTCCAGATTGAGGGGTGGGCAGTAGATAGGCAGCTTCTGCTCTTGATCTGACCCTTACTATGTTGTTTTTGTAAAAGGTGGAGTTGAAGAAGAAAATGATGAGCCACCCAAGGTAGTGGTTACCGAAGTGAAGGAGGAAGATGCCTTCTACTCCAAAAAGTACGCAGCAGTTGGGCAGGAATCAGGCCTGGGAGGTGTGGGGTTTGCTTGTCCTCTAGGCCTCCACACTCTGGGTAGCATGGATTCTTGGATTGTTTTAAAACAAAGCAGTCCTGGCAAGTGCTTGCTGAGCTTCTCTGTGGCTTGAGCTCTTTTCTGCCCTGGAAGTGGTTTAGAGACAAACTTTGCACAATCTTCCCATCCTCCTCTCTGCTCATCCCCGCCCCCCAAAGAGTATCCCCAGTCTCAGTTTGGTTTTACTTCAGCTTTCACCTGGCAGCATCTCCGATTCCTTCCTGGAGAGCTGGTTGGCCTGTGGGTTTCCTCCCAGCCAGTCATTCTCGGGGATAAGCCCTCACCGTCAAGAGTGTGTGTGAACACCTTGTCTCCCCTCTGCTGTGCAAGCCACTGCTCTGGTTTAGGGGCGGCTTGGTTTATTGTTTAGGTGGGGAGTTTTGTTTGTTTTTAAATAACTGTCTCTTTCAGAAGCTGCAAGAGAGATTTGAATTGCATTCTTCTACTAAGTGAGATTACTTTTTATCAAGATGTTTGTGCTATTTCAGAAGTTTTCCAGGATGGTCTTCCAACACAAAAATTTAGAATGAGCCCATAATTTCCCACTTAACAAATCAGCACATCCTGTGAAATTCCCTTGTTACTTAACTTTTGAGAACTTTTGTTTTTTTGGTACTGGCGATTGAACTCAGGACCTTGTGCTTGCGAGGCAGGCGTGCACGGTGCCACTGAGCTAAATCCCCGGCCCACTTTTGAGAACTTTTGAGGGGGCTAACAGTTACTTTTGCTTATTTTTAATTGTAACTACGTGGATAACAAAAGAATGACCCTGACTTTAAGATACTTCTTCTAATCAGAAGAAATCAAATGATCAGTGATTTTGTTTTATTAATATCCTGAAGGATGTAGGGTACAGGAAGCTAGGAAAACACTTATTCTATCAGTGAGACCCTCTTGAAGAACGCCTCACAGATTTATCAGCATTGTGGGAGATCAGTCATTGAAGGAGTCCTAAAGAGAATGTAAAAAAATGAGAATGGGGGAGAAGCAGCACATTGGAGATGTGGAACAGAAGGTCTGTCCATGTCCTCCCCGCCCTTAGAGGACCAGCCAGCTCTGGAGGCCAGGCCGGAGGAGCAGATCGGGGAGATACAAGGGCTTTGTCTGAGATTTGGGCTGACTGGAGAAAAGATGGTTTCAGAAAATGTTTTTAAAAAGTTTTATAGGGCTCACTATTCAGTTTGAAAGAATGGAGAGGGACTCTAGAATATCCAACTATATTTTCTTACTCAGGTTTACCCACACCTAGCCTGTCTGGTTCCATACAGTTATCCTCTGCTCTCAATACAGATTTTCTCACCCAACTGTAAACAGTGGTCATTAGAAAACTCTGTGACCTGTTATTGAAGGCCTGATTGTAGCGGTTGCTTTGCTTCACAGGTGTAAACTATTTTACAAGAAAGATAATGAATTTAAAGAGAAGGGTGTGGGCACTCTGCATTTAAAACCTACGGCGAATCAGAAGACACAGCTCTTAGTGCGGGCCGATACCAACTTAGGTGAGTACCTTTCTCTGAGGTGGTAAAAATCATCTTTGTCACATAAAGTGTGAAGCCTTGTACCTCACTGATGTCAGTCCTTACAATTTCAAGTTGATTGATGTGTATAATGCAAGAAATCATTCAGGACACCTTGATCCTGTATTTATTAATTATAGACTTGGTTTTGAGTACCATGAAAATACTGTGTAAGAAAATGTAGATGTATTAAAACTATAACCAAAAAGTAACCAAAGTGATTTTCATTTTCCTTTATGTTAGAAATGTGACTAAGAAGATAGAGACAAACACCCAAGGGCAGTTAACCATTTACAAACTACTTCCCACTCCCATCTTGCCCTTCACTTATGCTCTAAGCCAAGAGCTGTGCCCAGCAAGGGTCTCAGTTCTAAGATGTGGTCAGCCCTTTAAGACCCCACCAGGCTGTGGCGCAGAAAGAAACTCCGGGAAGCATTCTCCCCCCATGGCTGACTATTTAAATACCACCCTAACGTCATTCCTGCCAGTGTGCTGTTCCTCTGTGACAGTGGTGGTGTTCCATTGCTGACCACTCATCCTTGTTCTTGTGACACATGACACAGGTGTGGCCCTCTCCTCCTGAAGTGCAGGGAGCCTCCCTGCTAGTGGCTGTCGGGAGGCCAGTGCCTACTTCTGTGAGGTTCTTGGTGATTCCTGGTTTTAGATTCCTTAACTATAAGTTGCTTCAGCGTTTAACACTAGCCTATTACAAACTCTTTCCTGTTGGAATGCAGGTAACATCCTGCTGAATGTCCTCATCCCACCCAACATGCTGTGCACACGGACGGGGAAGAACAACGTACTGATTGTGTGTGTCCCTAACCCCCCTCTTGATGAGAAGAACGCCACTGCCCCTGCCACCATGCTAATCCGGGTGAAGACCAGCGAGGATGCAGATGAGCTTCACAGAATTTTACTGGAGAAAAAGGAAGCCTGAACATGCAGAGTCAACCAAGGGATTGTTGCCAAGTTGCTGCTTCCCCCGCCGCCCCTTAAACGTTTTCTTCTTTTCTTTGACCTTCTGAGGACTTCTAGATAACTTAAAACTTCCATGAGGAAGATTAGGCCAATAAACCCTTTCCCTGTTAGGTGCCAAGAGACTTCTCCCTTCAGAACTGTCTAAAGTGCAAAATACATTTGAATGAAAGTTTTTGGAAGATTTTTTTAATGTTTATTTGTTTACTTAAACTAACCCTAAGTGATTTCTTAACGGACTGCAATCAGGGTATCAGTGGGCTCTCCCAAAGGCTGTGCGGCCTGCACGTGAGGCCTTCCCACCATGCTGTCCGGCGGTGGCCAGGAAGAAACTGCCCGTGCGGCTCTCCTCTCCCGTGGGCTTCCCTGATCTCTGCGACCAGCACTCTTACCAAATGAACCAGGCCGCCACGCTGTGCCAGAGACATCTGTCCTTGCACCACTTTGTTCTGTTTCATCCTCAAGCTCAGAGGTGGGTACTGGTGTGCACCTGCAGCATTCATTGTTAGCCTCTGCTTTGCAGGCATTGGCCTTTAACCCTGTGAGCTGCTTTACTGTAATGCAGGAACTGCCTTTTCATTTTAGAAGGAAGTGTATCACTTGTGAAGGAGTTCTTGGGTTTTGTAGTTTCTATTCATGAGGTGCTGTTACTTCTTTATCCCCCTGGAGAAGGGAATTGCCAGGAATGGGTTTAAAAGCACACATTTTGATCATTTCTAGACCATGGACAGTAAACTCTTTATGGAGAAAGAAAAGGGAGAGTGAAATCATACTTTAAAGGAATCTATGCTGGTGTCATTTGTACCAGACCTGACGAATGTAAAAACTGCATAGCAGCTTGATCGCGTGAGCCGTGGGAGTTCACTGGGCACCATGTTGTAAGTAGGAGAAGAGAAAATTATGTGTGAGAGTTTTGCCTTTAACTTTAGACAGCAGGATATTATACACTTGCTATCTGAAATACCCATCTTTTAAACAAGGTGTTGAGTGTGTCCATTTGGAAGGGAGCCATGGTTATGCAGAATGTCCATGTCATTTCCCTAGAGCTGTTAGGTGACTTAACACTAGCATTCTGAGGAGACTGGCACATAAGTAAGATGCAAGATTTCATGACTGAATTTCCACTTTTGTTCCCCATGAATCCTGTTGTGTTGGTAGCAGATGCTCTTGTCAGTGCCCAGTGGCTCACACTTGTGTCTTGTCTTCAGTCTGTTGTGTCCAGACTTCAGTCAGAATGGCTGGATGGTACAGGTGCTTTTTAAACTGCAGTCCTTGGGTGTAAATTGTCTAGCGGGTGGGGAGGTCCTTATGAAGAGCTCTAAGTCTTAAGTACTTTAGGTTGGTGATGAGCCAGGGTTGATCATAAGATTCTGCTCACACTGCATGGTACTAAGCAGCTTCTGGTTCCAAGGGGAGCAGTTGGCCCAGCGTGTGACTTTGGATAAATAAATGCGAGAGAGATGTTTGTGCTATTACCAGATGTAGTCCAACTCTTAACTATGTTGTGCAGCCTAGGGAGGAAGTGGCAGTTGGTTTTGCATTTCTGTTTTAGATTTGAGGGCGCTCATAAGTTTTTGTTACAGATGGCTTTATAGTAAACAAGTGGTTGATACTGCTAAAATAATACTGGCCTTGTCCTATTCACATATAGGGTTGTCCAGCTTTTTAAAAAATGAAGTGGAAATAAGGGGAACCAATTTCAGAATGTTAAGAGTTTAGCCATAGGTTCCCATGGTACTAGCTGGCATGTAAGTCAAAAGCATTGCTGGGAACACTTTAGTGTTGATGGTGCGACACTTGGTTAGCACCTGCATGCATGGTGGATGTTTACCAAAATGGCATGACATGGTGATTGGGTGACCCTTTTAACTTCCCTTGCCCCCAAAACCAAGTTCGTTCTTAAATCAGTGGATGTGTGTAGCTTTCTTTTTTTCTAACATTCCCAGCAAATTTTTGCTGCTAAGACTATCACTGTTAAAGTGAAAATTACAGGGAAAAATGTATTTTCTTAAAACTCTTTTATGCTTTAGGAACTTGTTGGTCTCCACTTTATGTATTTGTATGAAAGAACCTGTGTGGGTTTTATTGTAAACTCCAGCTCCTTGGATGCTACTTGGGGAAAGGCAGGGCCCCCGGAGGGTTCACCTGCTCCCTACTGTGTTGGGAGCTAATTCTAATCCATGGGTGATTTTATTTCAGTTTATTTTTAACAAAATTTTAGAAATCAGGCTGTACAATGTTTAATGTGGACTAAGATTTTCACCCTTAATTTGAAAGTTTGTAAGTTGTGTCATATACTCGGCCTAAAGTGAAGTATGTATTTTTTAAAATTATAACTCAAATTGCATCTTCACAAATGCTAAGTGTCTCTGTGGCTTTTTTTTTTCAAACGGATGTGTGCATCTCAGCTTTTTTTTGCACATTCCTGTTAAGCAAAAAAATTGTTCTGCTGTCTTCCTTACCAGAATTACACACTGGAAATGTCCAGTTTTTTGGCTTGGTTTGGTTTTTTAGGTTTCACTTTTTCAGTACTGGGGATTGGACTCAGGGCCTTATAGAAGGGCAAACACTCTACCACTGAGCTACATTCCCAGCCCTTTTAATTTTTTTGAGACAGGGTCTTGCCAAGTTTCCCAGGCTGGCCTTAAACTTGCAATCCTGCCTCCACTTCCCAGGCAGCTGGGATTATAGGTGTGCACCACCACGCCTGGCCAACATGTCCAGTTTTTAAAGAACCTTAGACTGTGTTTTAACATGAAGGGACAAGTCTGACCATTCATGGACTGATTTTCTTCAAGAGGATTATTATTTTATTTTACACTTTCAATGCTAACTCATATCTTTTATATGCTGCATGCCAAAAAAAAAAAAAAATCTACCTGTTCAGGAGTGGAAGAAGAAAAAATATTTCACCTTACTATTAAGAGTTCAAACAAGTTTTCACTGAGAGCCTATTCACTATGGTTTCAGTAACATATCTGTCCTTGAGTATTTGCTGGTTATTCTAGCACTTCCAGAGTCACAGTGGAAGCGCAAGGCATCTGAAGGCTTTGCACGCCGAATGGCCCACCGCACACCGCATGTTCTCATTCTGGAGTGGGCCTGCGTGGCACCTGGATTGGGCCTGGCACTGGTGCACCCTCACTCCCACTCCTGCTCGGCCAGTAGCATTCGTGCTCGACACTAAGGTCTCACTGTTGGTGCAGACAGAATTGTGAGGGAGATGCAAAGCTGTAGCAATCAAATGGAGAATGTTTGCTTTGGACTTTAAATAGGAAACTTTTCTACAACTAAAATACTTGAATTGCCAGACAACATAATCTGTTTGGATTAGTTTTTGAATGGTCCCATTGAGGAAATGTAACAGTCCATGAAATGTGAATAAATGGAAAGTAAACAATCAGTGTCTGATGTGTTTGTGCTCAGCAGCACCAGGCTGGTTGTCACCTCCCTCTGTGCGGCATGAGCCACTTCAGATGGTCACTTCAGGCATGAAAGTCAGAGTGGGACTAGGAGCCGCTCCCCAGCAGGGTGCACAGCGTGGCACAAGCCAAGGGAGAGTCCATTTCTCTAAAAAATGGAAGCGAACCTGGATCTGTGCTCAGGTCTCGGGCGAAAAGCTAGCTCTCTTAAGGACTTTTTAAAATTAAGAGAATAAAAAATGATCAAGAAAAATACATCATTTTGAGTGTATGTAATTTTAAATTTTTGATGATTTAGAATATTACCATTATGAAATTAACAGATTGACGTCATACTTGTTGAAGTTTCCTGTTACTCTGTTTCCTGGTGAAAAAACTACTGCAAGGACTTACCCATCCACGAGAATGTTCTGAACTGTTACCGTCTGGTGGGAACTCAGGAATGACTCGAAGGGGTGCTTCCTGGGGTGGACATGGTGGGCCGCCGGAGGGCTTCTCAGTGTGGCCTGAAGAACAGCAGCACCAAAACCTGCCAGAAATGCAGAGCCTTCTTGGGCCCAGACTAGCCTGGAACTCATGATCCTCCTGCCTCAGCATCCTGGGTTACAAGTGTGTCCAGTCACTGTTTTTAAAATCGAGAGAGAATTCACATAAAATTAACCCTTTTAAAGTATTTAATATAGTGTGTGAGGGAGTATTTTTTCTTTTTGGTTGATTTTTTTGTTTTATTTTTTTGAGGTACTGGGGATTGAGTCCAGAGTCCTCACACTTAATTCCCTCCTGAGCCCTTTTTAAATTTTTTAAAATTTTGAGACAGGATCTCAGTCATTAAGCTGCCCATGCTGAGCTTGAATTTGGGATGCTCCTGCCTCAGCCTCCCAGAGCACTGGGATTACAGGTGAGTGCCACCATGCCTGGCTTGTTTTTATTGGGGTACTGCAGATTTAACTCAGGACTTGGTATACATGAGGTAAGTGCTCTACCAGAGTTACATCTCAGCCCAGCTGCCCAGGTTTTTGGGACACTCAGTTGTACAGCCGTTGTCACTAATTCTAGAGTATTTTCATCAGCTACCACTGGGTCTGAACAGGTACTGAGGCTTGGTGAGTCAGAACTCCGAGTGACCTGGGCCCAGAGACAGCACAAAGGCCTTTCCGCCGCACCCTGGGGGGGTGATGTGTCACCTTGAGTTGCTGCCCCCAGGGAGGTGAGCAGTGGCGCCCCCTTGAGAAAACCCAGGCTCTGCTTTCCAAGTGCCCCACCCATGGGCTCTCCCAGCAAGCCCTTAAAAATACGGATGTGTCCATTCAATGACTGAACCAGTTTCTGGAATTGGCTAGTCTTGAGCAAAACTGTTTATTGAAAATATAATCAAATTCACTAAAAACCAGTTATTTCAAACTGAGCAACCTAATTGTTTTATTAAAGTCAAGAGTTCAAGATGAGAATGACCCCTCTTGCACATACAGGAAGAAAAAGCAGCCTCTGCTTGTGAGGAGGCTGCTCAGGAGCAGTTCAGTGAAGTGGTTCAGGAAAAGACAACTTTTCATCACCCCCAGAAACAGGTATTTTCCCTTGCTCTCTCAGCATCCCAGCTGCACAAAACGTTTCCATAGCCGGCGTGGGGACACAGCAAGCTCTGTTCCCGGCTGCCAGTCACTCTGCTGCTCTTCCCAGGACTGGATCCTGAAGGCTCCCTGCCAGTGAGTGCTTCCTCCGGGCCTGTGGCCTGAGGGTCACTCGTGAATGGGCCTTCGGGGGCTGGTGAGCTCCGAGCCCCCCCCCACGCCGCCACTCCTGTTGTAGATGTTTTGGGTGACTGTTCTATAAGGACTTCCCGATTATTTAACAAGAACGGAGTTCGTCTGGGTGGAAGGGAGACTTGTTTGTTTGCTAAGTCTAACTATCCTGAGTATGAGTTCCTCACAGGCCTCCTTCCTGTCCCTTCCCTTACCTCTCCTCGGTATAGTCTTTATGATACAGGTGGTTCTCTAGCTGTTCACAAAACCCACTGCATGAAGGTGGCTCTGAGGCTGTGTCTACCTATGATGAACTTAAAATAGTGGAGCCTGGGAGCATGAGCTGGAAAACATTCGGCATCCTCCCTCCGTAGTGCTCCGTTTTCCCACCTCTACAAGAGTTTTAAAGTGTTCCCTAGAAGAAGCTTGGGATATTTTATAGTGCAATGGCTAGGGTATATGCTATTGTGGGAGCTGAGGGCCACACCTGGAATGCATCCCGGGATGACACTGTCCCCGTGCAGACTCCTCCGGAGCACAGTGATTTCTACTGGCCCCCATACTTCCTGTTCCAAAGCAGTACCCTGTGTGAAAGCTCCAAGGAGATTCAAGGACTCTGGGGTGAATTAAGATTCATTAAACTATCCCTTTGCTGTACTGTCGTAATGAACCTGAAATGCATATTACAGAAAAAAAAATAACTAGGTACAGATTAGAGGGAATCTGAAGAAAACTAAATTTAATACCTAACATGCAAACAACTTTGCAAAGAAACATGAAATCATAAACCAAAGCTAACAGCCAGCCACAAATCCTGCCTACTGACGATCTCTACTGGATGAGGAAGGTGTGGGGTGAAGTTAATGGAAATAGCACTACCATGAGCTTACGACTATATCCAACAGATGCTATCGCGGTGCTTTTGCTTAAATATATTTTGTAGAAATCATGAATTAAGCCTAAAGTAGCCAAAAAAAAAAAAAAAATCCCAATGGTTCCTTTGCGGATTTAATTACTTGCATACATGTAGTTCGTTTGGAAACTGTAAAAGATTACTATTTACATCTCAACTTCCTGACCTTCTACAGAGTGGGGGACTGAAGTCACATGAAGGAAAGGAAGGAGGAAGCCTTGCAACAGAGCTGCAAGATCGCTGTTACTTCTTATCGATTGGGCTCAAGGCCTGGAATCGTTAATCAAAATGCCGAGTGGCCTTAGGAGTAATAGAAAACTGTAAACACAAGCTCTCCACAAAATCCCTGGCTCCCTCCACGTCCAGGGTACCTCCTGCTGTGGAGCCCGGACCCAGCCTCAGGTCTCTTCTGGGTGCTGGTGTCTGGGGTCCTAGGGGACCCCTTCTCCACAGAGGAGCTTGTCAGTGCAAGGGAACAGCTGGTGGGCACCACCTCACTCCCAGCAGGACCTGGTGCCACTGTGCCCACTGGGCCTAAGCAATTGTCCCTTCACAGCCACAGCAGCCTCTGCACAGGCTGCTTGCACCCACACTCAAGGGCATGGGCACTGTCAAATTTCTTGAAGAGTCCCTGTCCTGTTTAGAAAGAATTCTGCTTTCTGACACCAGGACAAGAGCAAGCCTGAGCAGGGATGACCAACGTGTCAAGACACCTTTCTGAAACCAAGTATGGAACCAGATGTCAAACCTGGAAAACAGAATATGTAGCAGTGAAACCTACCAAACTTAAAAACAAGCGGTCTTTTTTCTCTTTTTTGGTAGTACTGGAGGTTGAAGCCAGGGCCTTCACACTGAGCTTCACTCCCGGCCTTTGTTTTCGATTTCTTTTAAAGAAGGGTCTCCTTAAGTTGCCCAAGCAGGACTCAAACTTGCAGCCCTCCTATCTCAGCCTCCCAAGTGCTGGAATCGCAGGAGTGCACCATGACACCTGGCAAGATTTACTATAAAAGACTGTAAAGAATTTTGGTCAACAATTTCAGTCATTAGAATATACCAACTGCACAAGGACTGGAATGTCTTTTAACAACAATAACAAAGCAAAAGTTTTTACTTTAAAGTCGTGTAACTAGTCCATTTGTGATCAAGATCGACAGTAAAAAATAGATCTGGGTTTGAGACTAAGTAGAAGTGGATTTTTTGAGGGGAAAACGCACACACATAGGAACATGGCCTCATAGTCTTACTCTGGTTTCTCCCTATAGACAGAAGCCTGATGCCTAATGGCTTATGGTCCCTCGAGTGTCTAACACTAACACTGATTTCCCTCACTGCCACACAGGCTGGGCTAGACAACACCTTGCTTGTTTTCTCCTGACTACCTCTCTACTACTTGTGTTTTAAATGATCGTCTTCTTTTGAAAACAATGAGCCTTGGCTGCTTTTATGGGCAACTAGAAGTTCCAGAATACCACCAGATCTTCCAAGTGCTGGAAGCAGAAAAGTTGTAAACAGAGATATGTCTGTCCCTAATCAGAATCCGGGATTGTGACATTTCTTCAAATGAAACCCCTTTCTTCCTAATGTCCTAAAACACAGACACCTAGGTTTCCTCAAAAGAAAACTATTTTAATTCCAATTCCACCCAGGACATGAATACCCGCTTTGGTCATCCCTGTACTGTATAGGAGACAGGTGTGCTCCTAGGAAAATGAAACATGGCCTTCAAGGAGCAAAAGTGTATCAGCACCAGGATGTTGGGCTCTAGTTCCACCTGTCCTCTGTTCCTCTTAACACTTTCCCTGATGTCATTTATTACTCTGAAACAGCAAACCTCAGGGTGACAGCTAGCAGTTGAGTTATCAGCACCTGTGAGCGTGATTTAAGTTCAGTATCAGAAGCAGCCCTTGGAGTGCCTCTGTTCACAGGCTTTACAAATGCAGGGTGACCTCTAGAGTCCTGCACTAGGGTCTAGGGCACAGCTCAGTGGCACAGTGCTTGTCTGGCACAATCGAAGTTTGGGGTTCCATCCCCAGCACAGCAAAAATAAATAATAAAACTCCACATCTATGCATTTCTGTGACGTCCAAAGCACCCTCATGTATGTCTGCAGTTGGTCCTCAGCTACCCCATCTTCCACTGGCCCAGTCAGGAGGGCCTGGCCTGGGGTCCACCAGGGGAGGGAGAGGAGCCTCTTGAAGCTCCACCTCTCCGCCAGCAGGGAGGCCCCTCCCAAGAAGACACATCAAGATCCCCAGCTGTCACTCTCCAGAATGACCAAGGAAAAAAAATCCCTAACTCATGGGTCTTTCAGCCACAAACATGGGAAGGGCACTGGGCCCTCTGGAGGTCAACCTGGGGTCCTGGACACATGCAGGGCCCTGAGCCTCTGCTCCAGCACACCGGGCTGTGACCTGACTGTGGCCTTAAGACCCTGGTGAGCACGCAACCCAGAGAGGCTCGGCTGCAGCTCCAGCCTGAGCCGGACCGGTGAGGCTATGCGGATGTCAGATCCTGCCTCGCTGTGGAGCAGACCAGCGAGGGGAACGAACCCGCGATCACACCCTGACTGATGGTGCACTCGAACCCTGGAGACGTCAGTGAGGTAGGTGGTATCGGCCCCATTTTACAGGTGGGCAAACTGAGGCAGAATGAAATGCAATAGCTCGCTTTTAATAACAACATACAAAATCTGGAGAAAGCCCCAAAGTAGTCCCTGTCCCCGGAGCCCACAGAATAGAGACAGATGGGAGAACAACTGCTGCTCTCTCTCCTGCCAAAAAGAGGTCTCCACACAGGTACCCAGAGCCTCCAGGGGGCTGAGGTCCTCAAACCAGAACAGCAACAGAGTTGAAGCTTCCAGTCTACTCCCAGGCAGGCAGGGGAGGCTCTGGGTGCTGGGGAGAGGCCAGGCTGCAGCCACGCACGCGCATAAGCAGCTCCTCTGGCCACAGGGCTTGGCCTAGGGCAGATGGCACACTGGCCCTAGGAAACTGGGCAAGGGAACAGTGCCACCCCCTCCCGCCCTAGAAGATGCCGTCTGCCAGGAGCCCCGACGGGGGATGCCAACCCCAGCCTGTCAGACACCTTGGCTACCGAGCCCTTCCACCTGCCCTCAGGACCCCAGTGCTGCAGGTCTCTCCAGCCGTGGCCGAGCTGATGGCCTGGGTTGGAGGTGTGTGTGTTGGCGGTGTTCTTTGGCTGGAAGCAAAGGCCATTCTGGGGGGCGGGGGGCGGGGCTGTCTGCTCAGCTTGAGAATGTTCTGGAACTGGGCATGGGTCGAGGTATTCCCAGCCCAGGGGAAAGCCGCTGAGCAGGTCATGTCCCCCATCTCCCCACGGGAACCCACTGTGACAAATGTGACAAGGGAGGGCGGGTTGGGTCGGACTCAGATGCTGAAGTTAAAGGGTAGAGTTATGAAACCTTCCATGGGGCCTTGGAAGGAAGGATGGCCACTCTGACTCACGGAGTGCCCGGCTGGATGGCATCAACCCGCTGTGTGCCGGGCTGGGATGTGGCCTGTGGCCAAGCTTGATCTGGACCTGGCTGTCCTTGCGCTGTCAGTGGCCTCCTGGCGTCCCAGGCCCTCTCTGGATGCAGAGGGTGCCCCGGAGATGAGCAGGGGGTGAGGGCGGGAGCTCAGGGCAGGAGCAGAGCCAGCGGGGGAGGACGAGGCACTTCAGTTTGGGCTGGTGTTTGTGGATCGGCCCTGGCCCCGGAGTCGAGTGGCCCTGCCTGGCTGCAGCCCTGGCGCTGGTTGTCACAGAAGACCCCGGAGGCGGTGACAGGTAGGCACTTGGCAGCAGTCCCCAGGCCTCAGGGCCAGGGCTCCGTGTGGCTCTGCCACGCTAGGTCATCAGGATGGGTTTCTGCCGTACCTCCAGGATGTCTAGGGCAGGACGGAAGCAGATGACAGTAAGGCTCAACAATAGGCACTGTGGCCACCCAGTTCCTCTTACAGAAGGAACCACCACACACATTGGCCACAGGTGGCCTCCAAGCCACAGGACCGCAGGCACCAGGGCAGAGCTAGCAGGGCCGCTAGAAGCCCCTGGCCAGCAGAGCTGCAGGTCCGGGTCAGGAAGGTGGCAACACCCCGGAACATAGCTGCTCAGGACAGTGAGGTGAAGCTACAGCATCAGGTGACATCTACAGCAGGGAGCTGGGACCCCCAAATGGAAACCTGGGGGACAGTGCCTGCCAATGCCCAGGGCCCCAGGAACCTGTCCCGGAGCCAGGCCACCCACCTGCAGGGTTCTGTGCGTTGCTGTCACCCCATTACCTGTTAAGATCCGATGCAGCGGCAAAGTGACGTAGGTCAAGTGTGCATAGAGAAGGAAGTTTCCATCAGCTCTGTTCAGCTTCAGCCAGGACCCGACCAGGGACCTCCCCGTGCCAGACAGGGACCGGGAGCGCAGGTTGGTGGCGTTGTGCAGGTCAGCTGGAAGGGAGAAGGCAGTCAGGGCCTGGGGACAGTGGAGGACAGCCACACTCCAGCCAGCACCACTGCGGCCTCAGGCTAGGTGCACCTTATGAAGGGCCCTGTCCCTTCCTGTGCCAGCTTCAGGCATGGGGTCTTCAGGACTGGAGCGGCCCATCGCTGTCACCCAATCCTGTGTCCAGTGAGGGAGGCAGCCTGCGGTGGCCACCAGTACTTTTCTACTGAGCTGGAAACGAGCCTGGGGGTGAGGGCCCAGGGGTCACACAAGAACAGGTGGAGGCCATCCTCGAACCGCCCCTAATCGGGTCCCAGCCCCAGGGCCCCTCCCCCCAGGCTAGCTTGGGACGGTGCTCGGTCCATACTGTGGCAAAGCCTGTGCACTCTCCAAATATGCAGGGAGCCCACTTGGCCCTAGTCTGTCCCAAGGACGGGGAGGATGCCCAGACCTCGCCAGTGGAGCTTCCAGAACCTCCCATCTATGCCACTCTCCCCATGGACTGCCAGGTGCCTGGTCCCTCCGGTGGCTTCCTGGGCCCAAAAGACAAGGGGACACCTGACTTCTAGCTGCACCACTCACAGGCAGTGGGACTGACCACTGAGGACACAGCAGGGGCCAATGGAGGACATGTGTGTCCCTGGAGATCAAGGCCTGCTGGGCAGCCCCGAGGGACATCAGGACGAGGGTTCCAGAGTGGGGCACACAGGCCAGGGAGCAGAAGAGAAGGAGGCAGAGCACGCGCGCTGTGCGGCACTCAGGCAGAGGGCTCTGTGGGACCCTCTGTGTGCGGAGAGGCTGGCCTGGACCACGGGAGCCCCCGGCAGCAGGGTGTCATCTGTCCGTCCGTCGGTCCGTCTGTCCGTCCCCAGCTCCTGCCACATGGCACCGTGCTGTAGACAGCATGGACAGAGGGACGCAGGTGCGGAGGAGCCACTAGTCTGGTGACAGGGGCCCAGTCACCTCCACCATCGTCCTCCCGGAAGAACTCCTCGCTGTCGTTGGCCGAGTGCGACTTCTTCATCTCCGCGATGCGGTTCCGGGGCACCTTCCTCTTGAGGGACGGGGAGAAGAAGGCAGGCCGGTTGTTCCGCTCAGGCGTTGGGGGTGTGCTGAAGGAGGTCACCTGGGGACAAGGGGCCCAGTCACAGAGCTGCTCAGAAGACATCCTGCGCGGGCTCTGAGGGGACACTGGTGAGAGGCGGGTGGGCCCGGCTGGCAGACCGCTTGCTGCCACCGAGCACGTGGTGGGGCTCCTGCAGCCACACCCGAGCAGGAGCAAGGGAAGCAGAGCAACAATCAGGCCTGCTTCGGGTCACTGACCGCGGGACACGCACGTGGGCTGCAGCCCTGGCCTGCACCCACCTCCCAGCCCCTGCACGGCCCCTCCCACGCCCCGTCCCCACCGGTGAGGGTGAGAAGCACTGCGGCTTCAGTGACCTCCGCCTCTGGTCCTCCCTTCCCCAGCGCTCTCCGCACCCGCTCAGGACACATGGACACAGATGGGCACAGGATGCCGGTCCCTGCCCTCAAGGAGCTCACAGTCTGCTGGGCCCACGAGACCCAAAGTGACAACCATGGACAGCACGCTGGCACTGAGACAGAAAAGGAAGCATAGGACGTGGGAGCACAGAAGCAGAAGGGATGGACAGCCTGGGAAGTCAGGGTAAGCTTCCTGAGGAGGTGCTGCTTAAGCTGGGTCTTGAAGGACGAGTAGGAGTTCGCCAGGTGAAGAAGGGGGGGAAGGGCGTTCCAGGCAGAGGGAACTTGGCCCATCTCCTCCCTCCTCCCCATGCAAACAACAATCAGCGCAGCAGGACGAGCTGGGCTGAGACTTCGGGAGCCCCAGGGAGCCCCATCGACTTCCTTGCCACAGCTCCGACATCCACCAGAGTCGCAGGTGGCCGCTGGGCTCCAGACGGTGCTCTCAAAAGCCAGGGAAGGTTTTGAAAGATAAGAACAGACACCAGAAACTGCAGTACACACAGTCTGCACTGGTCACGCACAAGTTACAAGTGAGCCCTGGGGACAGGAGGACAGCAGCAGGGCACACACAAGAGGCAGGGCTGGGGCTCGGGCCTGTGGCTCCGCTGTGAGCCCAGCGCTCCTCCCACGGCCCCGCAGCCCCTCACGCCCACTCTCACTGCAGGTGCAGAAAGCAAGGGCCAACACTCAGCAAGCCCGACTCCCAGCCGCGCAGGGCCCAGGCCTCATCTTCACTAGGACCCGCGAACACCACAGGGGGAGATTCAGGGCCAGGGAGAAGACCAAGTGAAGAGCGAGGCCTGTGTCTCGCAATCATAAAGCACAGAGAGGGCCCTGCACGAGGGATTCTCACCTATCCTCGCAAAAAAATAGCACTTCTCAGTTTTGGCTGGCTTAGAAAACACACTGACAGCAAAAGATACCAAAAAAGAACAAAAGTATACAGAAGACCCCAAGGAGAGCGGGTTAAGGCCTGTAGAACAGGTGCCTCTCCTGGCAGGCACCTGGCACAGCCTGGAATTTGCATTCCCAGCCTACAACAGCAAGCAGTAGCCCCAAGCTGCTATGGGGTCACTCCCAAGGGCCAAGCCCCATGCCGAGGCCAGGCCTGAGCGGCACTGGGGGACCCCACACCTCGGGAAGCAGTGTTCACACCCTGTGTCTGAATGGGAAAGCTGACCCTCACAGAACAAGAGCAGTGGGCCAGGACCCCAGCCCGGTGTCTCCTGGACAAGGGCCAGGCAGGCTGTGCCCCAGGGCCCAGGTGAGACGGCCCCTGTCCCGAGGCACTCGCACTGACCTGTCCAATTCAGGACTGACAGCACTGAGCTCTCCAGCCTGGGCCCTGGGGCCTGCACCCCTGGGGCCACAGTGGCTGATGGGCACCTCTGCCACCCAGGCTCCATACCCCGGCTGTGGTGCATGACCAGGCAGCAGCCTGGGTTTCCAGGCAGGGTTCAGTACTCCCACGCCAGCCACAGGGTCCTGCCATCAGGGCCAGCACCCTGCAGACTCACGGGCCGTAGCCTCTGTGAGCTTCGCCCAGCCTCGTGGGAGAGGGAGGCCAGCTCTTCCCGACCCACGAGCTCACTGGGGGATCCCGGGGTCCCCCAGGCAGGCACCCAGCTCCCATCCAGTCTCTTCTGTCTCGGGGAGGCACAATGAACACCAGCCACTGTGTGACCTTGGGGAAGGCCGCGCCTCCTCTGAGCCTCAACCCTCCTCCTCAGCACGGGAGCTGGGGCCGAGGGGGATGGCAGGCAGCAGGCCCACCCCAGCACATGGCACTTACCCGCTCGTGCATGGGTGAGGCCGGGCTAGAGTCCTCCTCGGTGCCGCAGGGGGAGGTGTCCCCCGTGGACACGCGGCTGACAGCCATCTCAGCATGGCCCTTGCCCTGGGGCCCCTTCATGCGCACGAATTCCATGTTGTTGTACTTGTAGAAGCCGAACGACATCTTCTGGGCCATGCGTGCAGCCACGCTCACCTGTGGTGGACGGGACACAGCCTGCATGGGCGTGGTGGGGTGGCTCTGCAGGGCCCCTCCCCCAGGACAGGACGGGGGGCAGCCCTGAGGACCCCGAGAGGGGAGCTGGTGCCTGCTGACACGGTCTTGCCACCCTGAGGACCCAGGCCACAGCCAGGCTCAGCCACAGCGCTGTCACCTGGCCCTCCCACGACGCCGCCCACTGCAGGAGTGACTTGTTCACACCCAGATGTCCCTCTTCAGCAACAGAAGCAAGGAGGGGCTCGTGGTAGGGCTGGGCCATGGTCACCCCCAGCTGTCGCCTCAGGGACTGCAGAGCAGGGACACCCCCTGCCCTCACTTCCCACAGAAGCGATGGCTGAGGCGCGGCGAAGCCCCAACACAGGCCAACCCTGGGACTCCAGGGGCACCCAGATGGCCCAGGGTCCCTGAGGTGGGGCGGTGCCAGCCCGGGCTTGGGGCGCCCACGGGGAGGACGGGGAGCAGAGGGTGTGGCGGGGCCTCACTCACTCGGTTGTCATACACCTTCTTGAGCGCCTCGTAGCGGATGGAGCCCTGGAAGATGACCCCCTGGGACATGGTGGTTTTGTCACTGGCCACCAGCTCCACACAGACCATCTCCCCTTCCCCCACAGTCATGTCGCTGAACACCTGAGCAGGGCGCAGAGAGGACATGGTGACACCACGTGAGCGCTGGAGCCGCTGAGCAGCGAGGCCGGGCCACTTGTCCACGGCCCCTGACTGTCCTCGGAGTGCCAGGTACTCCACTTGAAGCAGCCTGCTGGGGACTGCCTGCTGTCTTTGGGGCCCTTCCAGGCCCTGACAGCACATGGCTGCTGGCCTAAGGCCTTGCTGCAGGAGGGCCCTGGGGAGTGGGATCAGCTGCTTCCTCCCAGCCACCACCCTCTCCTGGCCCCACTGTGGCTGCCTTAGAACAAAGGCCTCACTTCGGCCTGACTCCTTAGGCTCCGAGTGGTGCAGGCGTTGGGGGCCTGGTGGACAGATCCGTGGCAGTGAAGAGTATGAGCTCCCACCATACTCCCCCACTCGGGAGTCTGGGATCCTTAGCCCCATGGGTACACAGGATGGACAGGTGTGGCAGTCATGTTCAAATGAGGAAAATGAGGCTCAGAGCTGGGAGAACTCACTTGCCCTCAATCAAACACTGGGAGGGGGGCCCACACTGGCAGGCATCCAGGCCCTTCCCCACTCCGGGCTGCCCAGCACCTCCTGCAGAAGAAGGTCTTTGCCCTCAACCCCCCCCAAAGGAAGCCAAGGGGAAAGCGGCTAGGCCAGGCAGCTCACCTCCTCGAAGCTGTCAATCATGAAGAAGATGTTGGGGTAACTCATCTTGGATTCTTCCCCTTTGCTGTCCATCGGGTGCTTACTGGGAGAGGCAAACACTTGCTAAAAGAAAACACAAAAAAAGTTTCTGTAGGAAACAAAGAAAACAAAAAAAGTTTCTGTAGTACTGGGTGGGGATGGAACCCAGGGCCACAAGCATGCTAGGCAAACGCTCTACCACTGAGCTACACCCCAGCCCAGGAAGGCAGATTTTAAGGGTGAGAGAAGCCCCACCCTGCAGCAGGCCCAGAGCCACCCCAGGTACGGGGCACCAAGGGCACACTGCCCAGAGCCAAAGCCAGAGTCCTGTGGTCCTTGTCTGCATGGAAGGTCAGACCCCTCCAGACCTCAGAGGCAGGGGGAGGAGGGGAAGGGGGAGGGGGAGGGAAAAGGGAGGGAGGGAGGAGGAAGAGGACTCCTCCAGCACAAGCCTGGGCGGCAGGGGGCTCCCCCAACCATGCAGCCTCCCAACCAGGCTCACCTGCGACTTCTTCTTATGGATGTGGATGTCGCCCCCGTCAGCGCGTGTGCACACGGCACAGGTCACCACATAGTCCAGCTGGAAGAGAGGACAGGGCAGTGTGCATGAGGGGCCACTGTCCCAAGCTGTCCCCAGCCTGCCTGCCCCTACCTTCTGCAAGATGAGGTTCAGGCACACGCTCTCCTCCCAGTCGATGTCGGGGTCTCCCAGGCCTGGTAGCTTCTTGGAGTCCCGCCGGTACACCTCGACCTCCACCTCGGGCTCAGCTTCCGGCAGCTGTGGCACAGGGGACAGGTAAAGGTCAGGGTCCTGGCCCCTGGGACTGATGGGGCAGCCATTAAGATGGAAAAGACGCCTCTTCTTCCTCTCGCTCTGTGATAAGGAGCTACCCCTCCTCTCAGAGCCTTGGTTTCCTCATCTGCACAAAGGGCTGCAAGCACCGGGCTCTAAGATCTTGATGACTATAGAACATATTTGCCACATGTCATTAATGACAATGCTATCAGGACAGCCACTGAGTACACAGTGGGCAGCAGGGGCTGGGCTGTTTTGCAAATTATTAGTCCTTTTGCCCTAATGGCAACCCTGGAAGGCAAGTGTCACAGCCCTGTAACAGGTGAGGATCAAATGTAATAGTCACACACCTCAAAGAGAAGCCAGGTGTCTAGGACTCTTCAGGAAGGAGAAGTGCAGTGGAAAACACAAAAGCAAACTTTGATGCATCCTGTCCTGGAGGCTCTGAGGGTCCTGCAGACTCAGCTCTGAAGGCCACCAGTGAACCTGCGCTGGGCAGTGCCCATACACCCAGAGCAAGTTGGAATCCACATGGGGATGCAGGAGGGCCCCCTGCCCCAGAGTGAGCAAGGAGAGTCCAACAGGAGGGGTCCCTGGTCACTGCCTGCAGCTGTGGAGTCACCCGAACTGGAGCAGAGGCCTCGGCCCACAGTCCTAGTGCTGCTCAGTCTCTCTTCATCACCCTGCTTGGCTACTTGCCCCCTAGCTCATGGCTCTGAGGTCATCTTGTTTCCAAGAGAACACAGCCCCCCCTCCCCGAGAGGAGGCAAGGTGTGTGCCCTGCACTCAGCAGGTGCTCAGCCAACCTCTGCTGGCTCAGTGAATGGAAGGAAGAGGTCCCGGCATGGCCACACGGCTATTTTCAGGTAGGCACCTTGGCACAGCAGAGGGGGAAAGGGCAGCTGCACATCAGGAAGATGCCCATGTGTGTAACAGGAGACAGGTCCAGACTGTGCCAGGAGCCTCTCGGACACCCACCCCTGGGGGGACAGACGCACAGGACACTCGGGGTAGCAGCATGCATGCAGCCGTCAGAAGGGGCGAATGTCCACCACCCATATCAACAGGCAGATGCACAGGAAGCAGAGGGCACCAAGGACAGACGCGGCCGCCCAGATGTCCGTTTCTGGGGACTCATCTGGGTGTCTTCCTGCATGTCTGTCACGCTCAAGAAAATTTACCAACATGTGAGAAACTGAAAGTGTAAATAAGGACCAAAAGGTATGACAGATAATGTGAAATAGGAAGAAAAGGCTTAAAGTGGGAGGGGTAGGGGAAAGGAAAGAAGGGAATGGAATTAATATGAGAAAAGGAAAGAAATGAAAACAAAGCCTTTGCAAATAGGGAGGGGTGGAGGGGTTGAAGGGAGGGCAGGGGAATGGGGGCAAAAAAGAAAAGAAAATCTACCAATAGGCAAGGAGAGAGCAGAACTGCATCCCCAGGAGCTGTAACCCAGGCAGCTCCTTCCTGTCTCTGAGCTTTGACTTCATGCAAGTACATCTAGGATAATATGCTACCTTGGACTGCTGAGGGTGCTGATGGGAGTGACAGTGGCTCACAGCACAGGCCACCAGCACAGAGCAGGCCAGACAGATGCCCTGCCCCTCACTTCCAAAGACTATGTGGGCTGCCGGGAACAGGGAGCTTTGTCCAGGGAGGATGAACAGAGTATTCCTCCCAAGGATCCCCAAGGTGTCCTGGAGCAGGGTGCAGGGATCCCAGCATCCTATGCCACCCACCCTGCGGCTCTGGCTCTGCCCATCCATCCTCTTCTGCTAGGCAGGGGGAACCAGCTGGTTGCTGTGGTAACCGGGTATGCGGGAGGGGAGAGTGGGTGTCGGCCCAGTGCTCGCTGGCTGCAGAGGCCTAGCAGTGCGCAGGCGCAGTGCCCCCAGCTTGCGCCTCTAGCTCGCCCCCTACAGGCGGCCTCCGGAACTGCGGCCTGATGAGCAGGAAAATGCCCATGCGGAAAGGGACAAGAAAAAAAATGAAAATAGAAACAGTGGAAACAAAGCTTTTGTACATAGGAAGAGGAGGGGGCGTAAGAGGAGGGGAGAATGGGATAAAATAAAATTTATTTTTAAAGAAGAAGGGGGATAGCTGGTCCTATGGAATTTCTAGTTTTGTTTCTTTGAGAAACCTTCATACTGATTTCCATAATGGTTGTACTAGTTTACGTTCCCACCAACAATGTAGGAGCATTCCTTTTTTAACAACAACAACAAAAAAGAGAAAGGGCCGGGGATTTAGCTCAGTGGTTTCGCTGCCTGCTGCGCAAGGGCAAGGACCCGAGTTCGATCCCCGGCACCAAAAACAAAAAACAGAAAAAAAGAGAAAAAGAAAATCCCCAGTGGGTAGGTCCCAGGCCTCCTAGCCTTGCCCTCCAAACACTGTGCCAGATGCTACCCTGCTGCGTCACACCTTGATTCACATGTGCCCTACTGCCTCCCTGGTCCCTGCCTCAGGTGTCTCCTCAGTCCACCATCCCGTCTCCTACAACCCTCCAGGCAGATAGATGGCACTTCTTTCTGCAGCCCCACTGGTCCTGTTCTTCTCCCCATCACAGCCCTAGTGGCCCTGGACATCGTCCATCGGGGTGCCTGTCCCTACATTTTATTTATTTATTTTTTGGTACCGGGGATCGAATTCAGGTCCTTGCACTTTCGAGGCAGGCACCGGAACCACTGAGCTAAATCCCCGGCCCTGCCTGTCCCTACAGACTGGGCTCAGTGAGGACAGGACCAGGTATGAGTCCCCTCTGTGGGGGAGGGGCTTCTGCACGCAGTTCACTGTGGGTCTCAGCTCCCCCAGGGACTCTGCTTCCTGCTGATGACATCCCCAGGCTGCTCCTTCCCAAGGTGGGCTCTCGCTTTTGCCTTGCCTTCTCTTCCATCCAGGAAGGAGCCGTTCCCTGCCCATCTCGCTCTGTATCCGCCACCTCTCCAGGACACAGATCTGTCCTCCCCTTCTCCTGCCCTCCTGATCACAGCTGTGACTTGTCCCAGACCTGAAGCTCGAGATACCACCGAGAGGACCCCACATGTACACTGGCCTCCTTAGGGCCTCTGGTTGCAATAGCTTTTGCCTTGGGGAAAAGACCAACATTTTACAAAAAGCATTCTCTGCCACCTGATTCCAGCAGAGCCCAGACTGGTTAGGGTGGCTAGGGACAGAGGGTGAGGACCATGGCATGAAGAAGCTCCCTGATGCCACCCCTTCCTGCCAAGGGCATCTCTGAGGTCACATCAACCTCAATTACCGGTGCCAGTGAGAGGAAGGCCCCGCCCTCCTGGGTGTCTGCCCCGTGCCCCAGAGTGACGACTGGACAGACAGGCACACAGCGAATCTCAAAGCTGGTCTGAGAGCCAGTCTGCCAACTGCACACGGGGCAGGGAGGGCCAAGTGGGCAGAACCGAGGAGCTGAAGGCTGGACTCCGAAATCCCATTACCGCCAGCAGGGTCTCCTTATCACCCACACTGGTCACCGTGCCTGCCACCACCACTGAACCACCCTGCCAGGCCTCCACACCTTCCCTGGTCCGAGTCCAACACTGGCCATGCCCACTTCTGCACCTTTCCCTTCCCTCAGCTCCTTCACCATGGCCATCAGCCATGTCTCCTGCTGGTCCCTCCCATGCCAGCAGGAGGACACCAGTGACCCTGCCGGGGCAGCAGGCTTGTCCACTTGCAGTGGGCTTACTCTGCACATGTTCAGGCTCCAGCATAGCCCACAACTGGGATGGTGCTCCCAACACTCGGTGCTTGGGCCCTGGACAGCAAATGAAGTGCCAGAGCACCAGGGTATGGGCTTGGAGCCAAGTGGGCTGAGATCCAAACCTGGTGCACTTTTTGTTCTCAAACCCACACAGCATTTCCATGTTTGGCATATGAGATGCTTAAACACTGTGCAAAGTACTAAAACTTCTGACAACAGAGAAGGGAATGTGCACAGCGTGTCTCATGACTCCTGCAGCCACTGTGGTGAGGCACTGTATCTCGGAGCCCTCGGTTTCCCTCGGCTGCCCTGCCGAGTGCTGGGAGGGGACCACAGAGTTGAGCACTGGCCTAGTCCGAGGAAGGCAGCACCCTCCTCCTCCCCATCATGCCATCCCCATCTGGCAGGGTCACCCTGCCCACCTCCTGGGTCAAATCCCTGTGCTACATTTATTCCCTTGTGGCAAGAGGCTGACACACCAGCTGGCCCTGCACTGCTTCCTCAGGGCCACAATGGTGCTAACAATTGCTGCTCCCCAGGACCCCCGGGGACAATGAGTAATGGTACACACAGTCAGTGTCCCCGGCACAGCCCAAAATTAGGCAACAGGAGAGACTGTGTACTCAGAGCTTGGACATGTCAGGGGCTCAGTAAATATTGTGCTCCCCTTCGGACATGTAGGGCTTCAGGGAAGGACCTTTGGGTCTGGGATGCTGGGCACGGGGTTCACCCACCTTCCTCCCGTCCACACTGCTCTCGCTGCCGGAGTAGGCCAGCTTCCGGCGAACGTAGAAGAGCATGTCGTCCTGCCGGGGGGCCCATTTCTCCATGAAGTAGGTGGAGAACATCCAAGTCCAGAAGACGATGCGGTCATCCTTGAGGCAGCCTGCAGAAGGAGGCCAGAGAGGTCCGCTGCGTGACCTTGCCCAAGCCCGCCCTCCCCCCTGCATTCTGGGTCAGAATCCCACAGGGCTTGGAGCCGCTCTGCCCGCCTCCCCGGGGGCAACTATGAGGCTGGGATGCCTCCCAAGAGCCTGAGTCTTCCACCCAGCAGCAGCCTGAGGGCCAGCTCCCACCTGGGGATGAATCAGCAGCTTGGGAGGAAAAGGAAAACCTGAGCTGCACAGCACTGGCTGTCTGGGCCAGAATGAGGGGGCGGGCTCGGGGAGCGGGCCCAGCGGGAACCACCCAGCAGCAGACATCCCCGCCCTGCCAGCTCCCCCAGCTGCAGCAGTTCCCAAGGAGAATCCATCCCACTTAAAGGGACAGCGCCCTTCACCAGAGGGCTCAGCAGCAGGCAGGATCCCTGTGAGGACACCCCAGCCCCTCGCTGTCCTTGTTCCTCAAGCAGACCTCTTATTAGATGTGGTATTTCTTAGCTCAGTGGTTTTGCTGCCTGCTGCACAAGCACAAGGACCCGAGTTTGATCCCCAGTACCAAAACAAACAAACAAACAGAACTTGTGATCTTTTCCCGCACGAGGAAAAGCCCACAGGGTTTGGTAGGAAAACCTGGAGTTTCCATTCCACCTCTGCCGCTTTATTATGTGACAAGCGACAGGCACCTTGGCCTCTGTAAGCCACAGGTTCTTTTCGAGTTAATGCAGGTTAACTATGATCATGGTGGAAGAGCCTATGTCACACAGAGGGACAGAGTGAACGTGATTTCAGCAACTCGATGGGTTAAACTGTTGCCAGTCTCCTTTTTCCAGTTACCGTCTACCACTGGGATCCAGTCCCTGTACTCTGCTGCCGGGGGAACTTAACCCCTTCACTTAGACATGGGGAACCCAAGGGCCAGCTGGGTGCAGCACAGGCACTCAGTGGCCCAGCCAGGACTTGCTCCGTTCCCTCTTCCTGGGGTCAGTCACAGGGCTGAGTCGCAGGCAGAAAGCCCAAGCCACACCACTGACCCCACAACCAGGACCTGGCCCAGCCCCTGCCCTGGCCCTCTGTCCTCTGCCCGGCAGTGGGCCACCCACCCACTCCCACACCTGCCTGGCCCAGACTTGTAGCCAGTGGGCAGGAGGAAAGGAGGAGGCAGCTTGCTCGGTGCGGGGGGGGGGGGGGGGTGGGGGGGGGGGGGGGGGGGGGGGGCACGGCTCAGCAGCCTGGTCGGCCTCAGTCGGGGAGCTACACACTGACGGCCTCCCCAGGCTCGCGGGCACTGAGCACCAACGCATAGTGTGGTCGGCCTTGCTGCAACACATAGTTCACACCACTAGACACCCTGGAAACCAGGCAGAGGCCCCTTGGCTACCCCTGGTGAAATGCCAACTCTCTTTCAACATCATAGCTCTCTCTCAGAGTCCAACAGAAAGCTTTCAGATTAAGACCTGCACAGGGGTGCATGCTGGTCTCCTGCTGGTCTCCTGCCTCCCGGTCCTCTGCTGGCCCTGACAAGTCGGGGTCCTGACTCAAATCCCATGCCTGCCACAGGGGGCCCTGTGAGTGTCGCTCTGGGTTAAGCACTGCCCTTCCTTCTGGGGTCACCTGGGGTGGGGCCTGGCTCAGTGGCTCAGCCTGTGCTTAGGATGCACAAGCCCCTGGGTTCAATCACCAGCATCCTCCCCACAAAGTCACCTGCTAGCAGCTGTGGGGCACCCAAGCAATAGTGTTATTAACAAGAACAATGACGACGATGATATGGTTAGTAAGAGTTCTGCGTGGACTGTTTCAGTGAATTCTCACCATTATTCTGTCATCCCCGCCTCACCAACAGGCCAAAGAATGCGCCCAAGTTCACAGTGCTGGGGACTGAGGAAGTACTCAGATCACACTTGGGCCTTGGAAAGGCCTCTCTGTATTCAGCAATCAGTAGGCTGGAGTGAAGGAAGCAGATGATGACCACACCCCTAGCAAGCATCAGGTGGCCCTGGACTCGGTCAACAACAACAGGAGGGGACGTAAGAACTGTACTGCCTGAGGCCAGCGGCTCTCCCTTGGCCTCCGTGCAGGCACCCGTGGGTTCCTTCCCTGTTTCACAAGCCCAGAAACACTCTTGGCATCTAATCCTCTACCGGGCTTGAGAGCCAGGTGACCGAGGCAGGCTGCCTGCCAGAGTGGACTCCTCCCCGGGCAGCAGGGCACACACAGGGATCCTGGAGCCACACCCCGGAGGCCGAGGGGCCACGAGTACACTGCACCAGCCCCACACTGGCCCTACTCCTAGGCGCTCCGGTAGCTCGGTGACAGTCAGAAGGCCCAACAGGAGCCACTCCTGCCACCGCCCCCCAGGCCCCACCATCCAGGATGGTCTCCACTTCTAGCCCAGTTGCCAGGCCTCACCTTGGAGCCAGAAGAGGTTCCTTTAACAGCTCCTTTCCTGACCCTCCTCCCCCTATGGCCTTTCCATGGAATTCAGATTGACACTCCAGGCCCTCACCTTGTGCCCCTGGACACGCCCTGCCCTGGCCCAGCAAGCTCCCTGCCCCCACCGCCACCCTGTCCCATCGCCTTGCTGACCACCATCACAGCCCTCGTTACCACGCGGTGTTTTCACACCCATGTCCTACCTGTCCCCCACTGTGTGAAGGTGTCCCCCAGGGAGGGACTTGGTCATGGTCACCATTAGATACCAGTGCCCAGATCAGTGCCAGGCACACAGGCTGAGTAAATGGGCTTCTGCGCCCTGATCCTCCATCCCTGCTTGTCAGCCCTCTCAGACTCAAAACAGAAAACTGCCCTGGGCTGCAAGAGGGACAAAGCACCCTCAGACTGTCACTCCAGCCAGCCACAGCTGCCACTACACACCAACACACAGTGTAAGCCAGGAGAGCCAGCGCCATCACACTGCGGAACACCATGCAGACACTGTCAGAGCTCTTGCAGTACCAGTAGGGTAGAACTGGCAGGAGGAAACCCAGTCTACCAGGGAAACACGCACATGCGCACACGCACACCCAGGCACCCTTCACTCTAACTCGGGGGAAGACCCTACACGAACGAGGAGGGGGAGAGGCACTAGGGCATGAAGAACTGCTAGAGCAACCCTGAGCAGTGGCACAAGTGACACAAGACATCTCCACTCCCAGGACACTCAACACTTGAGAGCAAGAAGAATCACAATGACAGGCTGGGGATGTGGCTCAATGGTTGAGCGCTTTCCCCAGCACGCACCCCCTGAAAAAAGTAATGGAAAACGGCAGAGAGCTGCGCTCCAAAAAATATTCCAATTCCCCTCAGGCCAAGAGAAGCAAAACCCAAATCAAAGGAAGCAGAGGAGACCAGTGGGAGGTCCACACACGACAGATGCTCCAGTACAGCAAGTTAGGACCTAGATGTGCATGACCCCAACACAGAAACAGGCGCAGGAGGTGACATGGCAGGAAGGAAACAACCAGTTCACAGGAATGTGGGGAGATAACAGTCTCACCAGAAACCACAGATGCATATCGCAAGGCTTCACTGTCGTTTCTAAGAGGGCAGATTTGTTCTTTAAAAAAATACCGTAGGTCAGTCATAGTGTCACACACCTGTAATCTCATCACTCTGGGAGGCTGAGGCAGGGGGATTACCTTGAGTTCGAGGCCAGCCTGGGCTACATAGTGAGCTCAAGGCCAGCCTGAACTACAAACCAAGACTGTCTCAAAAAAATAAGTAAATAAAAATGAAAAAATAAATAAAAATACCATTTAGGAGGCCTGGGGATTTATCTTAGTGGTTCCACCACCTGCCTCAAAAGCACAGAGACCCGAGTTAGATCCCCAGTACCAAAAAACAAACAAACAAAAATACCGTTTAGGGGCCAGGGATTTAGCTCAGTGGGGCTGCGCCTGCCTTGAAAGTGCAAGGTCCTGAATTCAATCCCTGGTACCACACACACACAAAAATAATAATAATATCATTTAGGGGTCAGGGATTTAGCTCAGTGGCACTGCGCCTGCCTCACAAGCACAAGGTCCTGAGTTCCATCGCCATACCAGGAAAAAAGAAAATACCATTTAGGAAAACCATCAGATTCTTATTAAGGCAAACATGCACTTCCAAACAATTCAGCCACTCCTAGGGACACATTCAAGAGGTGTCCATAAGCAGAGGGATGGTTCCTAAGAACCCCAAAGTGGAAAGTAGGAGGACAGACACATGGAAGGCAGCAGAGCCATTCAAAGGAATACTACTCAGCCATAAAAATTGCCAATCCCCACAGCACGATGGGTAAATCTCAAAATCATCACACCAGGAGGAGAGGGAGGAGATCAGATTACAGGGCTACACTTCATGTGATCACATTCCCATGATGATTCAGAAAAGCAAAACATAGCAACCAAAGGCAGATGCACAGCTGTCTGCAACATTCTGGGTTTGGACTGGGGAAGTGGTTTCACAGGTGCGGAGTCATCAAAACTCATCAAACTGTATGCTCCATGAACATGTAGCTTACTTTACTACACTGCATGCCAACATGAGTGATAAAAAATTCTAGCCAATTCGGTCAAGGGCGCATTGAGCTGGGACGCTCATACATTCTAGAGAACAAAAATCACGATATCCTTTGTGGAAAGTACACAAATGTTTTCCCAATTCTGTAAATCTACCTAAAGGAAGAGAAATATCAAATACAAAAATAGAAGCCCCATGCAAAAAACTGCTTCCTGTTTGATTAATAAGAGCAAATAATAAAATAGCAATAATTGTGGTAAGGAAGGACAGACCACCCTCTTCTGCAGTGACTGACATTTAACCTAGGCGAATCTGGCTACGTGGACTAAACCATCTCCACCTACCCTTCAGAGGATGGCTGTGAGGAGGTGTGTAGCACAGGCAAGACACACAGAGGACAACCACACAAGTCCCGTGGAAACCCCAGAAGTGCACACACTACGATTTGGGAGGGGCTGGATGCAACAGGGAATCTGCCTTTTTATTCACTTAGTATTTTCAGTAA